CTCTGCCTCCCGAGTGCTGGGATTAAAGGCGTGCGCCACCACCGCCCGGCTGAACCTTTTTTTTTTTTATGATTGATTATTATTAATTGTGTGTATATGTCTCTTCCTGTGGGTATGGGCACATGAGTGCTGGTGTCTTTAGAGGTCTGAAGCATTGTTTCTTTCAACTCTTCCAGGAGCTGGAGTTATATGTGTGTGTGTGTGTGTGTGTGTGTGTGTGTGTGTGTGTGTGTGTGTGTGTAAGTAACAGAACTTAGGTCCTCTGCAAGAAAAGATTGCTTTTAATTGCTGAGCCATCTCTAGCCCTGACCTTGAACTTCTGATCCTCCTGCCTCTACCTCTTGAGTGCTAGAATTATACACACACACACACACACACACACACACACACACACACACACACACACACACTACAGTTCTGGAACCAAACCCAGGTCTTTGTGCAGGCTAAGCAAATACATTCCATCCACTGAGTTAAATTTCCAGTTTTCTTTTTCATAGTACCATTGCTACCACTGCATGAAAGGCAGGTCCTTTTCCCCACCCTCACAATTGATATCATCACAGATTTTAAAAGCTTGGGAGAGTAGACATTGTTCACATGTTCCTACTACTGCTCTAGTTACTGTTGCTGACACAGTTTGCTGGGATTTGATCCTAAAATTGTCATTTAATAATTGTGGAGCTTTGCATCAGTTAATCAACTTTATTGTGTCTCAGTTTTTTCATGTATAAAAATGTTGATATATGTAGCTTGAAAGGTTATGAGAATAAGGAATTAATAGGAAACATTTTTAACATTAGTATCTGGCACATAAGTGTTCAGTGTTTGCTGATTGCTTTTTCAAATCATTGCTGTCGCCTCTTTTAATAGTATTTTCTTTGCCATTTTTATTTTACTGTTTTGACTTTTATGTGGAAATATGAAACCCTTGAAAGCATATTCACTTGTGATTTATTTGATCAAATGAATTAAACTGCTCTAAACTACTGAACACTAGTATGAACATTTATAAATAAATGCTTATATAAAACAAGAGTATTTTTAGACACTCTTACCTAGGGTTTAAAAGTATCTCTTATACCTCCTGAGTTAGTGCTTTTTTCCTTATGTAGTGATTTTTCTCTCAAGGCTAGCTACAGAACATTTTTGTTCTTTCTCAAAATTAGTATACTTAGATAGATATACTATTTAGGGCACTTATACTGAAATTATATTTACCGTGGTTGTATGTTGAGGCAGTTGTGGTAGCTTATGATTGTATTTTCAGCACCAACGCAGGAGGATTGCCAGTTTGAAGGCAGCCTGTACTACATAATGAGACCCCTTCTGAAATAATGATAATTGTGTATTAAGTTTGACAGAGTAGTTTAATATTTTAAGACAAGTGTATTTGTAGCCATAATGTCCTATGGCAAGATGTCACTTGTTCTATAATTGACTTGTATGACACATTTTTTGCACTGAGATTAGCATTGTCAAATTCAGACTTGACATTAATTCTTTTTGGTTCAGTATTCATTTTACTCATTGATTACTTTTTAAATAATGAAAAACATGCAAAAATAAAAATTGAGTTGTATTCAGTTGGGTAATTTATTCAAGCTGATGTGTGACAAGTCTTTTAATGTGATTTTTCATAAACCGGTTAAAAGGCAATTTCAAGAGAAAAAAGTCTAGATTTTGCATTTGAGTAATAAACAGGTAGTTTCCAAAGTGATTGCTTTAGAAGCCAGCTAAAGTTAGTACCAGTCACTTGAGGCTAAGACTGAGGGTCTCTTCCATCTGGCAATTTGAGACCTTAAACGAGGCACTTTTTCTAAAAAAATACAAAAATAATTAATTAAATGACTGCCTTGAAAAACCGAAAATTTGAATTTGTTTATTGAATATGTATCGCAGCAGTCCACTATTGTGGCTTTGGAAGATGACAGCTTTAGTGAGATAACACCACTGCTCTCTAGCTGTAGTTTTATTTTCGTAATACAGTTTATTTTATAGCATCACTTTTTAACAGGACAAGTTATGGTTTCTCTGAATAAAATTATTGTAAGTAGTCCTTTGACTTGATCGCTTTGAGAACTACATTATTTTCTATTTGAATGAAGTCATACAAATTTCCTTTTTTAGGAAAGAATATCCACCTCATGTCCAAAAAGCTGAAAACAACTCTGTAATGTTAAGTCATGTCCAAGGTGTAGGTAAGTGTACAATTTTGTTTGTTAACCTGGGAAGGGCTTTGAATTCCTAAATGAGGAATACAAATAGAGAGAATATAGATGCTAGCTTTAGAATAGTGTCCAACATAATAGACATAATATTGAAAACCATACTTTATGACAGATTTGAGATTTTTTTACTTTAAACTGGGGTCTTATATAGTGAGGATGGTGGCACAATTAGTTGTGTGCAGTTTGAAGTCTTTGGATTATGTTACATTTTTGTTAAAAATGCAAGTATTAATTATAGATTATCTATAGCTTTAACATAGTTTTATATTAGATTATATCAGTTTTGTATTAATGCAAAAAACCAAAATGTATTTCATCATCAAATTGGTTTTCCTTATGTAAAATAGTGATTTGATTTGATTTCTTTTGAGTGGGCCTCTGGGGACGCATGTCATTGGGCCTGTGGAGGTCAGAGGACAGCTTTGGCGAGTCTTCTTCCCTCTCTCCACCTGGTCACGGCAGTCTGTTCTGTTGCTTTTGCCGTACTGTGCACTCCAGAGTAGCTGGCCCCTGAGCTCCCAGGCAGCTCTCCTTCGCACTGTATCCGACTGTCGGAGTGCTGGGATTACAGACGGACACTCTCGGGTCAGCTTCTCTCCCGGGCAGACCCCGGGGCCAACTCCAGGGCTGAGCTGCACTGCGAGTGCTTTTACTCTTTGGGCCATCCTGCTACTCCAGCACTCTTCTTCTGTTTATTGTTTTGAGATCAAGGTTTCTCTGTTGCAGGCTGTCCTTTAACTTAAATCCTCCTCCCTTAACCTCTGAGGGGGATGGAACTTACAGGTGTGTGCTGCTAAGCTGAGCCCAATTTAAAATAGATGCTTTTTTTTAGAATTGTTTTTGTCAATTTTAACTGGGGTGGGGTGGAGGCGGGGAGGCATATGCAGAGGCCGGAGGCTTCCAGTCCTTAGAACTGGAGTTGCAAAAGTTGTAAACTTCCTAACATGGGTGCTGGGAACTTAGGTCTTCAAGAGCAATCTCCGCAGCCCCTCTAATGGATTTCTTAGCATGTAGCCTCCTTGTTTACAGACAAGGCTTGGCTTGTGTTTAAACATGATGGTTCCTAGTGCCGAACTTTTGTATATGCATTAAGTATACCTCTGTTGCATAAGTAAAAGTTTTCATGCTCAGTTTCATCATTTCTCATTATCTTGTATTCGTTTTAATTTGGATTAGACTTTGCAGTACATAGTTATATTAATAAATTGAATTTAGCAATAATGACCATCTTCTTCAATGTCCACCCGTTACACTTTTATTCTTTAGTGAACGCTGACTCCATTCTACTTAACTAAGTCAAATACATTGTATTTGTTATGTACCTATGTCCTATTTCTTGTGGAAGATCCCTCTAAATTCAGATTTTTACCTCCATTTTTGCAGAAGAACAAATGGTGCCATCAAAGCATTGAATTATTTGCCTAGACTTAATAGAGCTAGCTGGCTTGAAACCTGGGTCTGTTTAATGCCAAATCTCTTACTCAGTACAAAGTTGCTTTGACCTTCAGAGAAGAACAATACAAATACTATTTCCATTTGACAAATGCATTACAGAGAGACAAAGTGATTAGATCCTCTACTAATACTTTAGATGCCATTTAGCCAGTATGTTAGAATACTTAATGTTTATCCGACGACACTCGGTAATATGCAACAATATTCATTCAGCTGGGCATATAGCATACACCTTATATCTCAGCACTCTGGAGGCAGAGGCAGGTGGACCTCTGTGAGTTCAAGGCCAGCCTGGTCCACATAGAAAGTTCAGTCCATCCAAGGATTCATAGTAAGAGCCTGTCTCAAACAAACAACAAAAAACTACCCAACAATATTTCTTGGATTTCTTTGTTTTTCACTTTAAAATAATTGTAGATGTAATTATCTACTATTATTATAGAAAAATGGCAAAACTAATATAAAATGGTTCCTATTTATTCTTTATCCTTGTTATACCTTTTAAGTCAATACTTTTGTCAAAGTGAAGATTAGTATAAAGTGTTTGCCTGTTTGATTATTGGGGTTTTGTTTGCTTTCTGACACAGAACCTCATTACATAATTCAAGCCTGCATAGGACTCTGTATAGTCTGAATTAGTTCAAACTACTGATCTCCTGCCTTCGCCTTCTGAATGATAGGATTAAAGCATATGTCATTATAGGTCTGTCTTGTAAGACTAATTTAAGCTGTTGACCTTGTTTAAAAGTAACCTGTTTTCCATTGATGCCTTTCCCACATTACAATTAGTTGTTTTCTTAGTTTCCTGGATTATTTTGATGACTACAGGGGAGTTCCTTTTGGTCTATGTTTGATGATGATTTATATGCTGAAGCTGCATCTCTGCTGTTTTTGACAACACAGAAATGATGTGCCTTTTTTAGTGCATTCTATCAGGGGTTGCATGGTTTTCATGTGTTTGGTTGCTGGTGATGCTAGTTATGATCACTTTGTTATATATAGTAGTTTCTCTAGGGTTTCATCACTGTAAAATTTGGTACTTAATAAAGTTCCCTGATAATGTTGAGGTAATGATTCTGTTTCTCCTCAACTTTTCACCATCTGATTTTATCATCCATTGTTGATTGTTGAGGGCACAGTTGAACTTCTCCGACAGCCTCATGTGGCTCAGCCACAAACTGGCTTTAAATTCCAAGCCCTTCTGCCTATACATCTGGAGTGCTGGTATTACAGAATTGTACTGTCACCCAGAGCTTCATTAGTGGGTCCTAGTGAACCTGTTACTCATTCACACAGCAGTTACTACTTGATTTTTGTCTAATGATAGCTTTCTGTTTTCATTTATTTTGCATTTATTCTTCTGCAGGATAGATATACCCTTTGATATTTGTAAGTTCTTACTGGCAGTACATATACATTTTGGGACCATATTTGCTATTGAAATTCTAAGCTTTGTCAAGGGGAGAAGTGCTTTTAAGAAAGTCTTGTATCCCAGATAGACTCTTGGTTTCTGTAGTGCTGGACATCGAACCCAGGGCTTTGTGCATGCCAAGTAAGCACTCGATCAATTGAACTACTCCAGCCAAAGCTGTAACTATTTTGAGAGTAAGAAAAATTGTAGTATTGAGATACTACCTTTTATCTTTAATTATATTACAGGTAATGGGGCCTTCCATTTTCAGCTACTTTTGTGTTAGGCAGGTAGATATATGCCTGGTTATAGGATAAACTACAGTACTAGCATAATACTGCATATGATGCTACATGAAGATCACCTTCAATTTTAGTATTTCCTTTGGAGATCACATGTCATTAGTTTCTAGCACAGTTCCTGGAATATTTTTGCCTTTAAAAGAAATCATGGTGGTATTGACAGGATGGCACAGTGGGTGAAAATGCTTGAGCATTTGTCTCTCAGAACCTGAATTTGATCCCTTGAACCCTCAAAGGTGGAAAGAGAGACTTGACTCCAAAACTACCGTCAAACCTCCACATGTGCACCATTGTATGCACACACTTGCACTCAAACACATCACACATGTTACTACCACCATCATCAAAAGAATTTTAAAATTTAAATGAAATTTACGTTCCTTTTTTTTCCCTTTGGTTTTTTCAGACAGGGTTTCTCTGTAGCTTTTTTTTTTTTTTTTTG